AAAAAGATGAGGGGGGGGGGGGGGGACAGAATGGGGGGGGGGGGTTTGGGGGGGGGGGGGGGGGGGGGGGGGGGGGGGGGGGGGGGGGGGGGGGGGGGGTGGGGGGGGGGGGGGGGGGGGTGGGGGGGGGGGGGGGGGGGGGGGGGGGGGGGGGGGGGGGTGGGGGGGGGGGGGGGGGGGGGGGGGGGGGGGGGGGGGGGGGGGGGGGGGGGGGGGGGGGGGGGGGGGGGGGGGGGGGTGGGGGGGGGGGGGGGGGGGGGGGGGGGGGGGGGGGGGGGGGGGGGGGGGGGGGGGGGGGGGGGGGGGGGGGGGGGGGGGGGGGGGGGGGGGGGGGGGTGGGGGGGGGGGGGGGGGGGGGTGGGGGGGGGGGGGGGGGGGGGTGGGGGGGGGGGGGGGGGGGGGGGGGGGGGGGGGGGGGGGGGGGGTGGGGGGGGGGGGGGGGTGGGGGGGGGGGGGGGGGGGGGGGGGGGGGGGGGGGGGGGGGGGGGGGGGGGGGGGGGGGGGTGGGGGGGGGGGGGGGGGGGTGGGGGGGGGGGGGGGGGGGGGGGGGGGGGGGGGGGGGGGGGGGGGGGGGGGGGGGGGGGGGGGGGGGGGGGGGGGGGGGGGGGGGGGGGGGGGGGGGGGGGGGGGGGGGGGGGGGGGGGGGGGGGGGGGGGGGGGGGGGGGGGGGGGGGGGGGGGGGGGGGGGGGGGGGGTGGGGGGGGGGGGGGGGGGGGGGGGGGGGGGGGGGTGGGGGGGGGGGGGGGGGGGGGGGGGGGGGGGGGGGGGGGGGGGGGGGTGGGGGGGGGGGGGGGGGGGTGGGGGGGGGGGGGGGGGGGGGGGGGGGGGGGGGGGGGGGGGGGGGGGGGGGGGGGGGGGGGGGGGGGGGGGGGGGGGGGGGGGGGGGGGGGGGGGGGGGGGGGGGGGGGGGGGGGGGGGGGGGTGGGGGGGGGGGGGGGGGGGGGGGGGGGGGGGGGGGGGGGGGGGGGGGGGGGGGGGGGGGGGGGGGGGGGGGGGGGGGGGGGGGGGGGGGGGGGGGGGGGGGGGGGGGGGGGGGGGGGGGGGGGGGGGGGGGGGGGGGGGGGGGGGGGGGGGGGGGGGGGGGGGGGGGGGGGGGGGGGGGGGGGGGGGGGGGGGGGGGGGGGGGGGGGGGGGGGGGGGGGGGGGGGGGGGGGGGGGGGGGGGGGGGGGGGGGGGGGGGGGGGGGGGGGGGGGGGGGGGGGGGGGGGGGGGGGGGGGGGGGGGGGGGGGGGGGGGGGGGGGGGGGGGGGGGGGGGGGGGTGGGGGGGGGGGGGGGGGGGGGGGGGGGGGGGGGGGGGGGGGGGGGGGGGGGGGGGGGGGGGGGGGGGGGGGGGGGGGGGGGGGGGGGGGGGGGGGGGGGGGGTGGGGGGGGGGGGGGGGGGGGGGGGGGGTGGGGGGGGGGGGGGGGGGGGGGGGGGGGGGGGGGGGGGGGGGGGGGGGGGGGGGGGGGGGGGGGGGGGGGGGGGGGGGGGGGGGGGGGGGGGGGGGGGGGGGGGGTGGGGGGGGGGGGGGGGGGGGGGGGGGGGGTGGGGGGGGGGGGGGGGGGGGGGGGGGGGGGGGGGGGGGGGGGGGGGGGGGGGGGGGGGGGGGGGGGGGGGGGGGGGGGGGGGGGGGGGGGGGGGGGGGGGGGGGGGGGGGGGGGGGGGGGGGGGGGGGGGGGGGGGGGGGGGGGGGGGGGGGGGGGGGGGGGGGGGGGGGGGGGGGGGGGTGGGGGGGGGGGGGGGGGGGGGGGGGGGGGGGGGGGGGGGGGGGGGGGGGGGGGGGGGGGGGGGGGGGGGGGGGGGGGGGGGGGGGGGGGGGGGGGGGGGGGGGGGGGGGGGGGGGGGGGGGGGGGGGGGGGGGGGGGGGGGGGGGGGGGGGGGGGGGGGGGGGGGGGGGGGGGGGGGGGGGGGGGGGGGGGGGGGGGGGGGGGGGGGGGGGGGGGGGGGGGGGGGGGGGGGGGGGGGGGGGGGGGGGGGGGGGGGGGGGGGGGGGGGGGGGGGGGGGGGGGGGGGGGGGGGGGGGGGGGGGGGGGGGGGGGGGGGGGGGGGGGGGGGGGGGGGGGGGGGGGGGGGGGGGGGGGGGGGGGGGGGGGGGGGGGGGGGGGGGGGGGGGGGGGGGGGGGGGGGGGGGGGGGGGGGGGGGGGGGGGGGGGGGGGGGGGGGGGGGGGGGGGGGGGGGGGGGGGGGGGGGGGGGGGGGGGGGGGGGGGGGGGGGGGTGGGGGGGGGGGGGGGGGGGGGGGGGGGGGGGGGGGGGGGGGGTGGGGGGGGGGGGGGGGGGGGGGGGGGGGGGGGGGGGGGGGGGGGGGGGGGGGGGGGGGGGGGGGGGGGGGGGGGGGGGGGGGGGGGGGGGGGGGGGGGGGGGGGGGGGGGGGGGGGGGGGGGGGGGGGGGGGGGGGGGGGGGGGGGGGGGGGGGGGGGGGGGGGGGGGGGGGGGGGGGGGGGGGGGGGGGGGGGGGGGGGGGGTGGGGGGGGGGGGGGGGGGGGGGGGGGGGGGGGGGGGGTGGGGGGGGGGGGGGGGGGTGGGGGGGGGGGGGGGGGGGGGGGGGGGGGGGGGGGGTGGGGGGGGGGGGGGGGGGGGGGGGGGGGGGGGGGGGGGGGGGGGGGGGGGGGGGGGGGGGGGTGGGGTGGGGGGGGGGGGGGGGGTGGGGGGGTGGTGGGGGGGGGGGGGGGGGGGGGGGGGGGGGGGGGGGGGGGGGGGGGGGGGGGGGGGGGGGGGGGGGGGGGGGGGGGGGGGGGTGGGGGGGGGGGGGGGGGGGGGGTGGGGTGGGGGGGGGGGGGGGGGGGGGGGGGGGGGGGTGGGGGGGGGGGGGGTGGGGGGGGGGGGGGGGGGGGGGGGGGGGGGGGGGGGGGGGGGGGGGGGGGGGGGGGGGGGGGGGGGGGGGGGGGGGGGGGGGGGGGGGGGGGGGGGGGGGGGGGGGGGGGGGGGTTTGCGTATGTATTGATTCTAGTTAATGTTTAAGTATGTGAGACTCATGTATGCATGTGTAGTTTTTTCATGTAGTGGATTTGATGGCTAGTTTATTTGTCAAGCATAAATTGTTGTATGTACCCTTGTGTGCGTAGTGTTTTGTGGATTTTTGTTTGATGTGTACACTGTATGCTTTTTTGCTCGATTGCATTGGCTAGATGTGAAGATATGAGGGATAGGGCGGTGTGCAAGAGTGTGTGTTACTTGGCGTATCAAATATTAAGGCAAAAGCATTTTAGAACTTGTGCAAGATGGGTCGATTGAACCATGCTAGTGATGTTTTGAAATCTATCGTTGTTATTGGTTTCCTTTGAAGTCAATGATTTTAATTTTATTTTTGTGATATGGGATGGTAAAATGCATGTGGTAAATTTTGTTGACAAATCTGATGAAGTATGTTCTTAATTATATGGTAGTAATTAAAGTTCAATCTTCATGTTAGCTTGGCCATAAAATATTCTTTTATCCAAATGGGTGTAGAATGCTCATTCTTTTAATGCGAACACTTGTCTGTCTTTTTCTGTTTGCTTGTTAGGTTTGATTCTGTGGTATTGTTATTAGTTGAAATTAGTTCACTCATTAGATGTTGGAATAGCAATACTTTTTCTGTTCACTTATATTTCTATATAGTGGAGCATTGCAAATGGTATAAATTTTTTTCACTTAAGCTAATTAATGCCAAACATGGTTTTGAATAACGGTAACGGTTGTTGTAACGGTAACGGTATAACGGACGTGGGTTAAAACGAGCGTTACATAATATTAACGGAAACCGAAAACGTGATTTTTTTTTCAACTCACAATACCTATAAAACGTGAATATTTACATATTTTAACTCTAAAATAATGTAAATATTAGTGTTTAGTGATTTTTAGTGTATTTTATTGTACGTAAACATGTTTATGAGATTGAAAATATGTATAATATTAAATAAACATCAACGGTGACGAAAGTCGGGAATGTGAATTTTTTTTATTATTCACATCTTCCCTAAAAACGAAACATAGATTTAATTTTAATAAACTCGTTTTTTTTTATTGTCTTTAATAATTTTTTGTAATATAGACTTAATTTTAATTTATTAAATGAGATAATTTGTCCTAGCCAAATTTTTTTAAACAATTAGTCTAACTTAGTACACATCTATTTGAAGGTGGTTTGGACATTTGGTCTTCACAGGCAACACCTTTTCTTATTCTGTGTTTGTGGAGTGTTGTTTTCTCCATTCTAATTCCCCACATGGCCAGCCATTATGAGATCACGAGGAACAATGATGAAAACTGATCCATCATAACCATTCACACTCCTAACTTCTTTCGAGTGAATTGTACCCAATCATTCTCACTTCATTGTCTTCGCATTCAAGACAAACCATCAAATGTTCATCTTTGCAACTTCTTGTACATAGATAAAATTATAAACATCGGCCACAAAATTTTATAAGAAGAAGAAATTCAATAGGTATGTATTGTATAAGGTTTGGATCTCTTCTCCCACCCGTTTAAACTGACTACCATATTTGTTCTTCTTCCATCCCTTTTTGGCTGCCAAACTAAAGATATACGCAGACGAATAACGGACCGTTACGGCACCGCAACGGGTTGTTACAGGCCATTACAATGCCGTAACGGCCGTTATGGGTGTGAATTTTTTTCAATCTGTTAAATTGGATTGCAATGGAATTGGAGGCCGCCGATACTGTTACGCGTCGTAACGGCCGATTTTCAAAACCCTGATACCAAAGACTAATCAGAAGTTGTATAACTTTTATTCGTTCTTTAGTGGTAGGACTAGTCCGAGGGTTGATTTTGGGATTCATCATCCAGTTGCATTTGACATAAATGAGTTGGATCTAGGATTCCAAACTAATTCTAATAACTGCACATTTTCTCTGTCAAAGTTGACATGATTAAGAAAAGTACAATGGAATGGATGCGGCTGCTCAATCTAGTTGGTTTTTTCGCTAGTTAATATTTTTGTCTTTGTCAATAATATATATGTAGATCCCTTGCTGTGATCTGAATATACTAAGATCTCCTTTTGTTGTAGGCTATTACTGCATCAGGAACAAGGAAAGGTGAGTTATTTCTGGCTGATATCAATACCCAGTTGAAGAACAAGAACATCACTACCGATATCAAAGTGGACTCGTTCTCTAATGTAAGCTCTGTCACATACTTTTTATCATATCTTTGTTCCTTGCACATTCCCCCACTTTTGATGTTTGGAAAGATTTCTCCCTCTTGTAATTCCTAACTATGCATGTCGTGAATTGGTGACTTGCATTAAATGGATTCAGCATTGATTAGTGAACCAAATTCTGATGACTTAAGTTTCAGTCTGGCTCGCGGTAAGATTTTTCTACAGCATGAAGGGTATGAGCTGTTTATAGTTATGAATTTTGAGCTCCTGTTGTCACAGTTCCTTGTGGCTATTTTTGCTATTTTCATGTGTTATCCTATTTCTGCTGGTTGGTTTGTTGGTTTTTCCGTTCTTCTATTTCGTTTGGTTTTTGTAGGGGTGTTTCGATGGAAATGAATTATGAAGTTGCAACTCTTGCTGATTTTTACTTATTTAAGCAGCAAAAGTTCACCTTTGTTGAACCCAGACAGGGGTTAAGTAGTGGCCTATGAATGCGAGTGCGTCATTGTGGCTCTTACTAATTAAACACCTTTGTTATTTTATCCCTTGATTATCTAACTGAATCATTGCTCGACCACCAGCTTTATACAACTATCACGGTCGATGAACCTACTCCGGGGCTGAAAACTATCTTTAGCATCAGAGTTCCTGAGCAAAGGTCTGGCAAGGTAAGTCATAAGTGATTTGGTATTTGGTTTCCACACTTTGAAATGCTTATATTGTTGTTTCCTGAATAACTCCTATACTAAGTTGGAGCACACGTCTGTCAAGAAAAATTAAATATAAATAAATGATAAAAAGCCAGGACTTCTAATCATCTTATTGTATTGGCAGCTGGAACTTCAGTCTCTGCATGACTATGCGGGGGTAAGCACAAGCATTGGGTTGACAGCAAACCCGATTGTCAACTTCTCAGGTGTGGTGGGTACAAGTCTCCTCGCACTTGGGACTGATCTCTCCTTTGACACCAAGACAGGAGGTTTCACCAAGTGCAATGTTGGATTGAGCTTCACGAATGACGACCTTATTGCTTCTCTGACTATGTGAGTGGCATTTCTTAATTGGAGGATTATTTGCATCTTTTGCCCTTTACCCGTATATGTAGCTGTGAATTCTGATACATTATCCTAAGTTTCAGTGGTTGGGTATGTATAGTATTTTTTTAGGACGTGGAATATGAAATAGCTTCCTCTTTCCCCTGCTTGTAGAATATAATGTGAATTTTATGACCTCTATTTTAGCTTTAATTGTATGCTAGATACATAGATATCAGAATTGGGTGCACTGCTGGCAGGAGGTGCTATTTAGAAAAATCATTGTGAGAGATTAAGAAATAGTTCCCATGGTTCGTGTGGGTGCTTGCCATGTCTAATATTGCTTAACTGTGTTGTTGGCTTATAAGTGATGACCACGTATTGATGATTCAGGAATGAAAAGGGTGAAACACTGAATGCATCCTACTACCATTCAGTGAACCCCGCGACCTGTACTGCTGTTGGAGCAGAGGTGACCCATAACTTTGTAACCAGCGAGAACACCATCACAATTGGCACTCAGCATTCATTGGATCCTTTGACAACTGTGAAGGCACGGGTAAACAATTTTGGCAAGGCAAATGCTCTGATCCAGCATGAGTGGCGGCCAAAGTCCCTTTCACCATTTCAGGAGAGATAGACACTAAGGCGGTCGACAAGACTGCAAAGTTTGGTTTGGCCTTGGCTCTCAAGCCATAAGTGAGCTATTCAGCTAACTATAGTTAGGAGCAATAAGGTGGTCCTAAAGAGTCGTTATACAGTTGCCTGTTCAGACTTCTGTTCTTTTGACGGTTTATTTTGGTGGCTTTCAGATT